GAATAAAAAGTTAGGATGAGATAAAGGAGAATGGATCTGAATACAGCTAGAACATATTAACCAGGACAGGAAGAGAATCACCCTCCTCTAAGACGAGAGGAAAGATAATGAAGATGGGCAAAAAGGATAGGACAGATAAGTAAGAGAACTAGATTTTAAGGAGTTCACATTTATGCTTTCATTATTTCTTTGTGAAATGTGAGAAAAGTTCACCAAAACTGAAGTGATAAAGAAATGGCATAAGAAACTTGAGAAGATACATGAGAGTCTGAAAGAAGAAACCAATGAGTGATATGCAAGGGTACTTCAAAAAGTTTATGGAAAGACTTGTATTATCTTTTAATTTCATTTTTCCATGAACTTTTTGAATTACCCTCGTATAAAAAAACTGTCAGCTCCACTCAGTTTAGAGATAATACATTTGACTAACACCCACCTAAAGTACTATTTGAAGTGAGGAGAGCAGATTGGTCTGAACTAGAATTGTGTTTGGAAGCATAATAAAGGGGAAATACAATGGAATAAGAAATTTGAGTGTACAAAGCAAGATGAATTAACAGGTAATGAGGTCTAGGTGGATCAGGAAGAAAATCAAGGAAGGGGCTGAAAAACAGAGAAAAGAGAATCCACTAACTTTTATAGGGAGTAGAAGGTAGTAGAATGAGGCAACTAGAAGGTGAAATTGTGATTTAACGAAATGGAAGGTATAAAAAAAGAAAAAAAAAGACATCCGTTTCCTGGATTATAATTTCTATGAGTTATACTACTATAAAATAAAGTTTTGATCAAAACCAAAACTTTGTAGGTCTTATTTAAAACTAATCTTGTAGAAAATATTAAAACTTATACTTACCACACATTGCAACAGACTTTGCCTCCTCAATTGACTGATGTTTGTCAGTTAAACGAGCTTTGGTTACTTTGTGTTCATTTACCTCTTGCTCTAATCGTTGTTGTAAAGATTTAAGCTTGTAGTTTAAATCTATCTCTAAATTATTCTTTTCCTGTAAAATGGGAATGAGAGTCATGTAATACACTGTGCAAAAGGCACATTATTAAATCTTACATTATTCAATATCTCACAAGAGACATATGTCTTGCTTTTAAAATCACAATAAACACATATAATTAAATGCAGAATATCACCTTTTCTTTACCACCCCTCCCCCCCTTCCCATTTGATCATTAACCATGACTGATGGCAGAGCTTGTGGTTATGTTCAGGACAGCTCATCGCTAGGATCGAAAATGAATAAGACAATTCTTCAGTTTATTTTCTAATTTTTGCTACCACTTAAAAAAAATACTAATTATCACTGTTTACATTTACATCTAAACCCACATTTACTTTGCTTTGACAAAAGGATAAGAAGTGTCCCATGGCAAGTCACTAATATGGGAAGAGAGAACAAGTCAATGTATTCCATTTCTGTTTGACTACTTCTAACTCTTCCTTCTTTTATCCTATTTCCACATTTACACCAGCTGGGCTGTCAAAAAACTATTCTAATTTTCACGAAGCATGTCCCAAGGACATGATAAATAGTGGCTTTTCTGATAAATTATCTGAAGTTCTACTGAACCTCCAACATTTATAAGAGAGGCACTGAAAAAGTGAGAGCTAGATCTGTATACTATCTATTTAATCCTTTTCTTAACAAGGTACGGAACAGAGGGTAACCAATGAAACTTTGGATTATTAAGAAAATTCTAAGTGCAATGGCCAATCACTTTATGTTCTTTTCTACTTTGCTAACTCTTACCAACAAAATGGAACAAGCATGCATAGTCCCCTATATACTGATCCTTCGTTTTCCTTCTTCATAAGGCTAGCAAGGATCAGTACCTTCATTTTAGCCATATACAAAGAAAATAGGGGAAAAATTCTTTAAGAAAAGGTATTTCCAAACCAAAGCAATTTGTAATAATCTGCCAACATCTAACATCTAACTTTCCAGGGTAAAAATAAACAAAACAGAATAACAAAACCCCAAATAAGACACGCATACATCCCCTCATAACCGATCAACCAAATGTAAAACATAAAAACGTTTAGAAATGTAACTATATAAACATTAGGAATGTTTTACAATACCCTAATAAAACCACCTTACAATCTCTGATAACCAGTAAATGCTATCCCATAATTGGTACATGTTAGATCATTTACCTTTTCTGAGTGATTAAGCATGTCTTGAGCCTCTTTTCTTTCTCCTTCCACTCTTTCAAGATTATGTTTGAGATGCTTCACCTCCTCTTGTAAAGATGTAATTCGAGCTATCAAGTGAGGAAAAAGTTCAAGTCCACAGTCATTGAAAAAAAAATCTTTTTGTTCAGTGTGACCATTAAAATCAAAAAACCAAAACAAAATGTATTAAATTTCCTGATCACATAGAATTTATTAAGTGTTTCCTGGCAGCATACACAATAAACACAATATACAATAATACGAATGTTATCTCTAATTGGATATCACCTAATGCATATTCCTTACTTTATAAGTACTCAAAATGATGAAGCCTGAGCTTGGGCTAGAAATCAGATCCAAGTCCTTAGTAAGTGTTCTTTTCTATCATGTTAAAGGTGAGACACTTCAGTTAATTAAGGAAAGTATTTATTAGGTGCCATACACCAGATTCTCTGCAGTGTTTAGTAAAATTATTTTTAAACTTAATGGAGCCAAAGTCCATTTTTATAGTAAAGTGAATTTTTAAAAATTCAAGTTCTCTAATAAAGCTTAGTTTTAACTTACCCAAGGCTCATGCCATTCAATGTTAGCAACTCATATATTTAGTAACTGTCTCTTCATTAAAACATTCATTAATCTTATAGGTTTTAATGAATATGTATTTAGCAAACACAAATTTATAGAATATAACTTAAATGAATATAATTATATTGTCTAGTTCATAAGCAATAATCTATATTCATATTTTGTGATTCAAAGTGGCCTAGGATTTGATGAAGGACCCTGAAGGACCAGGAAAAATTTGGTACTACTCAAAGTACAGTTTTATGTACCGTATTTACCTAAGCTTCAAATGTACTCTACCTGCCTCCCATATTTTAGTGTTTGTAAAGTGGTTCTTTAATGAACAAATGAATATTAAATCTTTGGCACTGATAATGCTTGTCTGCTAGGTCATTTTAGAATCTAGAGAACAATGAAATAAATAATTTACACTCACCTGTGATAATGATATTATGTTTGTGCTGGAGTGTGGTCATGTAGGAGAAAGAAATGTTAGCCAGTTTCTTTCAAATGGTTGAGCAAAAAATACAAAGTGTGTGTGCGTGTGTGTGTGTGTGGAAAGAGAGAAAGCAAATGAGCCAAGATGTTCAAATGTTGAAGTACTATTTAAAAAAATGCTTCCTCCTATATTTATAATAAATACGTTTTAAAAACCTGTACAAAGATAGCAAATTCAGATTAAGCTTTGAATTTTTCACACAGAAGAAGCATATTACAAATCAATTCCTAAGAAGACAAGGTGATGAAAATATATGGGTTGAATCCATTAAAGATTCCTAACAACCATATGAAAAATACATTAAATAAAATACAATTTATTTTCCTCATTTATTCTACCTAAAAAGACATACTAGAAATAAACTATAACTTGTCTGTGCAATGTCCCAAAGCAAAGAAGCTTCATTAAAAAAATACACAAACATAGTGGAAGGAATAAGAACCAAGATATTAGATATCTTAACCTAAAGTGGATTAAGAAAATAAAGCTTTTAAAGCTAATAGGGATAATATTTTCATAATCTAATCAAAGATTTCTTCCATAGGCCACACTAAACATAGCACTAACCGTAAAAGAAAAAAACAAACTGCACTACATAGGAAAATATAAGAGCCAATAAACATATGAAAAATTGCTCAATCTTAGATGTAAGGGAAATGTCTACTAATCCACAAGGAAATACATTACACACCAACAGAACAGCTACATTAGGACTGACAATATTCAGTGAGGATGTGTGTTGTCTCTGATGAGGATGTGGAGTAACTAGAACTCTCATATACTGTGAGTGAAAGTAAACTGTGCAGCTACACCTTGAAATACCTGGAAGTATTTACTAAGTGTAAATATACATATATCCTCTGACCCTGCCACTCCTAGGTATACACCTAACAGGAAGCACATGTGTGATTACTATAAAAAATGTATAAGAAAGTTCATATCAGCACTATTCAAAATAGCCCCCAAATGGAAATAATTAGAATATCCATTCTCTACAGAATGATTGATAAATAAATCGCAGTGGTCATACATAGTAAATGGAATACTATGAATATAAGCAAGAAGAAAGAACAAGCTACTGCCATGTACAACAATAGATGAAACTCACAAACACAAGTGAAATAAACTAGAAACAAAGGAGTGTTTACTGCATGATTCCATTTATAAAAATTTTAAAAATAAGCAAAACTAATTTATGATGTTAGAACACAGGACAGCGATTATTTTGGGGGAAGGAGGATAGTGACTTAGAGGAAGCCCAAGCGACTTCTGGGCTGCTGGTCTTGTTCGGTTTCATGATCTGGATTCTTGTTATGTGGTTGTGTTCATGTTGTGAAAATTCTTACAGATGCATATGAGTATTTTTAGTTTACTGTATTTTAATATGTGCAATATGATAAGTTTCAGCAAAAAAAAACCCCACCTCACTTATATCTAATTACGTTAAAATCTCCAGGTAAAATATGAAATCTACAGAAAGGCATAAATGTGAGGCCCACCAACACCATACAAAAATAAAAAATAAGTGTATGGGTGAGATATAATAGGAAAATATATGTTAAGAAAAAAATCTCAAGGTCAGACACATTTACTATCACTTATAATATAAATTCTAATCTACCAAAAAGATATAGAAGTCATTAAAACCTTACACACCAAAAAACATTGCATTAAAAACATACAAAGCAGGGTTTTTGTGAAATACCCATAGCTAACATCATACTCAATGAACAATTCAAAAAGAAAATTTTTAAAATTTCATTTACAAGAGCATCCGGAATAATAAAATGCCTAGGAATAAATTTAACCCAGGAGGTGTAAGACTTATACACTAGAAACTAAAAAAATATTGTTAAAATAAGCTTAAAAGGCCTACATAAATGGAAATATATCCTGCATTCATAGATTGGAAGACTTAATATTAAGACAGAAATACTACCCAAAGCAATCTCCAGATTCAATGCAATTGCTATCAAAATTGCAAAAGTCTTTTTTGCAGAAACAGAAAAGCCAATCCTCAAATTCATATGTAATTGCAAAGAGCCTTGAATAGCTAAAACAGTACTGAAGAAGAATAACAAAGTTGGAAAGTGCTCAAATTTTCAGATATCAAAACTTGCTACAAAGCTACAGTGATTGAAAAACAGTGTGGTACTAGCATAAAGATAAACAAATGGACCAACGAAATAGAATTGAGAACCCCAAAACAAACACATACATATATGGCCAACTGATTTTCAACAAGGATGCCAAGCCCCATTTAAAGAGGAAAAAAAAGTCTCTTCAACAAATGTTGCTGGGACAACTGGGTATCAGATGCTCAACATCATTAGTCATTAGGAAAATGAAAATCAAAACCACAATGAGACATCACTTCGTAGCCACTAGGGTTGCTATAACTGAAAAAAGGAAAATATTAAACATTGGCAAGAATGTGGAGAAACTGGAATCCTCATGCACTGCTGGTGGCAATGTAAAACGGTGCTGCCATTGCGGAAAAGTTTGGATGTTCCTCAAAAGTTAACCACAGAATTACCATGTGATCCAGCAATTATACTCCTAAATATATATCCAAAAGAACTGGGGCTAACCAGTTAGCTTACTTGGTTAGAGTATGGTGCTGAGAACACCAAAGTCCAGGGTTCAATCTCATACTGGACAGCCATCAAAAATAATAATAAAAAAAAGAACTGAAAGCAGACACTCCAACAAAGACTTGTATACAAATGTTTACAGCAGTGCTATTCACAATACCAAAAGGTGGAAACAACCCCAAACATCCATCAATAGATGAATGGCTAAGCAAAATGTGGTACATACATACCACAGAATATCAGGCAGAAATGAATGAAGTACTGATACATGCTACAATATGGACAAACCTTAAAAACATTACACTAAGTAAAAGAAGCCTGACACAAAAAGTCACATACTGTATGATGCCATTTATATGAAATATCCAGAATAGGTAAATTCAGAGACAGGGAGATTGGTGGTTGCCAGGGGCTACCTGGAGGGAGACACAGGGAGGAACAAGTTAATAGGTACATGGTTTTCTCTTAGGGTAATGAAGATGTTTTGGAACTAGATAGAGGTAGTTGTACAACATTTTGAATGTATGAAACGACACTGAACTATTATACACTCTTACAGGATTATGTTTTGTTATGTAAGTTTCACCTCAAAAATGTAGATAAAAGCTGTTAGAAATACAAAGGGGCTATGTGAAAAAAAAAACAACACACGCAATCACAGTGGGAATTTTAAAACGCGTTTCAATTTGACAGATTAAAAAGACAAAGAATAAATGGAATCTCAGTGAACTGACAGATTAGATTAGAAAATTGTTTTCCTTCCAAAAAACAAACCCAAAAAGATTTTTTTTTTCCTTTCTGTCTTTTTTACTGACCGGTAACGGGATTGCAACCCTCGGTGTCGTGGCAACGGGATCGCAACCCTCGGTGTTGCACCCGCACCACGCTCAGCCAGTGAGCGGGAACGGTCTCCACATGGGATCCAAACCCTCGGCGGGAGCGCCGCCACACTCCCAAGCAGTGTACTCTCCAGTGCGCCACCGGGCCGGCCCTCAAAAAGATTTTAAGTAAAAAAACCTACACAATTTTCAAATGCCCATTTAACAGTTAAAAAACAAACCAAAAATGCATTATAAATTAAGCCAGAAAAAAATTATTTAAAAAAATCCAAAAAGTAGAAACCTTGTAATAGTTCCAGATCATAATACAAAAAATTAGAAACTACAATAAAAAATAATTATTTCCTACCTTTGTCCATTAAAATGACTTACAAATATTGACAAACCCAATACAAGTGAGTACCCACAGCACCCAGACTATAGTTCCTAAATGTCACATGCCAGAAAAAGGAACTAGAGTTCCTTGAAAAACGGGTAATGCCAGGTCTCAGACAGAAATTGATCCTGTAAAATCTACGCACACCAAAAAGCAAGGATGCTATCTATCTATCCAAGGCTACTAGCTTAGTGTCTAAACTTGAAGACATTCCCACTAGCCTCAAGTGAACATCAATAAAAAAACTGCAATGAATTAACAAACATTAAATATATTAAAATTAATGAGTTCATGAATATATTTTTAAAATTCACTGGTCACATTTGGAGAATGCTGGGGAAATAACTCACTGTTCTGAAAACTGACACAAGAAAGAATCAAGAATTTAACCTGACTCTTTTATAAGCTGCATCTTAAGGTAACAATATAATTGATGAGAAAAAAATTTTCTTTATAGTAGTATTCTAGTTAATGAATGAAGGAGACATGATAAAAATAGATGATCATTACTGCAAACTCCTAAAGAAAAAAATCTAGGCAATGTTCATAAATGGCTGCTAACATCACAAAAAAAGACAGCCAGACTTTATGTACCTCCTGGTGCCTAAATAATACTACTTACAAGTATTCTTACAAAAGGCCTACCTGAAATAGATCAAACTTCTAGACCTAACTCAGTTTAAAGTACTGCAGGGGATAGAGCAACACGTTAAATGACACCAGCAGATGAAATGAGCAAAATTCAGAATAAGATAACCACAGGATAAAAAACTTGGTTTCTTCAACCACGCAATAACAAATACAAAGAACAAAAAAGAGTGAAGTAGCATATAGGTTAAAAGAGTCCTTATCTTTAAGAGATATTAAAATATTTATAAATTAAATAATGCCTGATATTTGATTCAAAATAATTCAGCGTCAAAGTATTGGGAAGGTGGAGATAGATAATGAAACAGGAAGCTGGATGATGGGTACATAGGGGGATCATTATAGTATTCTAATTTGGTATATGTCTGAAATTTTCTAAAATAGAAGTTACAGAAACGAACCACACAATAATTTTAAAAAGACTTTTAAAAATGTTTAATTTTTTGAATTTATTTTTTTTCATTGTACATGTTTGTGGGGGTACAGTTCGTTGTTTCAATATATGCATGTATTAGATAATGATCTAATCAGAATAGTTAGCATATCTATCATCTAAACAAAAAAAATTTTGTGTGTGTATTTTTTTTTGGCAGCTGGCCAGTATGGGGATCCAAACCTTTGACCTTGGTATTAGAAATGGTTAATTTTGAAAATTTGTCTTTTTGCATTTCAATCTAAAGAATCATAAACTTACTAGATGGAAAGTTTATCATTTCAATTAGAATTTTCTTTCCTCCATGACATTTTGATCTTTGCCCATTCATTTTTGTTAAGCCTCTATGGCCTGACTTTTGGAAGCTTACCTTCTCTATAATGTACGTTACTGATACAGGCATTGGCAATTCAGACCCTCAGACTGTTTCTGTACAGACCTGAAGCTAAGAATTTTTTAAAGAGTTATAAAAAGTAAAAAAGAATATCTAACAGAGTGGGCTGCAAAGCCTAAAATATTTACTATTTAATTATATGTGGGAAATTATTTCTCATACTTAATGAAGAAGATTCCGTCCACTAGTTTACATAGAGGACATTCAATTAGGGAATAACAATTAGGACTCTGCTAAAAGTCCAACATCCCACAATAAAAGAAATTTATACTTGAGGATCTGAAAGTTCTTAAGGACCATAAAGGATTAATGTAAAAAGTATTATTATTTTTTTACCACATGCACCTTTATATGTACATTGAAGCTCACATAAGTTGTGTGCATTTTTTTAGTGTGCATGAGCTTTGATTCACATTTAAGTTTAAAAAAAAACAAAAGAAGCACTGAAACATGACAAAACGATTAACAATATTTCATGCTATAAATTTTCCTTAACTAACTGATGTCTAAAAAACAGATTCAGTTAAAAACCACTGTTGATTAGCACATGGATAATGGTCTCTGCCTTGGATATAAGCAGTTCAAAGCTCAGTCACATAAAGATCACAGACTTAAAAGAATTTTAGAATTAGAAGAATTTATAGAGGTAAACTACTCTAATCTCCTTGGTTTACAGATAAAGAAAGAAGATGAAGAGACTTTCACACAGCTAATAAGCTACATAAAAGGGCCTAAAAAAGCAATTTAAGGAAGTCAAGTATGAGGCTTTCCTAATATTTATAAAGAGGTTACTTTCTTGGTTATATTCAGATCTATTTTAAGCCTGGTCCCTGAGAAATAAGATTGCACAACACTCCTCAGCTAAGGACCAATGGGAGATCCTAATTTCCACTTCCACAGTCACAAAAACTGACCTTGACCTCTCTCCACAGAATTATAGCTAATCATCAAGCCCCATGAGACCCCCAAACTATGTTCCCATTTGTTACTAAAGTTAAAGTGTCCCCTCCCCCTCATTTTTTCATGAGAGATCTGGCAACTTGCATACATATCTGTTTTGATTAGGTAGCACGAATGCTGTTCCTAATAGGAATAGAAAATAGAAAAATATGTGAAGTGGGCAAAGCCAGGCATCTTTTTGAAAACAAACTGAATTTTACTAACATTTTAAAATTGTTCCTTTGTTCACTGTTAGTTATACTCAATCTTTTGCCTTTTAGATTCACAAGGATGGCTGTATCATTAGTCTTAAACTTCCCAAGTATCTAATTCTTTGTAATGGGATTCTATTTCTACAATTGAGTTTCTACCTTTAATGCATGAGGAATTACCAGGTTTTAAAAGTGATTATTCTTTTTGCCTGGATTAGTCTCACTTTGATAATAAGACCTTTATGAAATACACAAGTTTTTAAATTAAGTTTTCAGTTAACTTGGCTGTAAAATCGGAAAATATCTACATTACCTACCTCACAGGGGTGCCTGTGAGAGTGAAGAAATTACAATGTGATACAAATGTAGGCATTATCCTGAAAGAGAAAGAACGCTAACAATTTCTGGTTTCACCAAAGTCATTTTCTTTATGAGGGTAATATGAGCAAAAATATATTAACCTTTTACTTAAAAATGGTTAAGATGGTAAATTTTATGTTATGAGTTTTTTATCACAATAAAAAAATTTTAAAAATTAGCTTCTATTAACAGATGAATGGATAAACAAAATGTGGTATATACAGACAATATAATTTATTCAGCCTTAAAAAGAAAAGGAATTCTGATATGTGCTAGAACATGGATAACCTTGAAGACATTACGCTAAGTGAAATTAAGACAAAAGGACAAATATCATGTAATTCCAATTATACGAGGAACCTAGAGGAGTTAAGTTCACAGTAGAATGGTTGGGTGGGGGGGAAGAGAACGGAGTTAGGTTTAATAGATACAGAGTTTCAGTTTGGGATGATGAAAAAGTCCTGGAGTTGGACAGTGGAGGTGGCTGCATAACAATGTGAATGTATTTAATGCCACTGAACTGTACACTTAAAAATGGTTAAAATGGTAAATTTCATGATACACATATTTTACCACAATAAGAAAAAAACATTACCTTGAAGGTCTCCAATCATCTCAGAATCATGACCTCTATCTCTTCGTTCAGCTTCTAATGCAGCTTGCAACTGATAATAGTCCTTATCTGTTTGTGACTTGGAATTCTCTAAAATTCTATTTCTCTCCTGTAATTCTCTGTTCAGGGACTCTAGTTGACTGATTGACTTGCTCATCTCTGTGTGACTCTTCCTTAATCTTACAGCTGTGTCTGATTCTGTCCTAAGTAAATCATTGGCTTCTTCTAGCTATTTAAAAAAGAGAGCAAGAAAACATGTTTTTGACCAAATATAATAAAACTTATTTTAATTAACTATAACTTTAAAAAAGGAACCTCATTTGAAAAACTTACCTGTTTCTGTAATTGTGCCAGCTTCTCATTAGCAAGTTGTGAATTCTGACTTACTTTCTTTAAGTCTTCCAACTGATCCTTTAATGTAGAAACTAGAAAATAAAAGATTAATATGTAGAAATTACAAAGATTTTTTAGAGGAAGTACATAAATCCCTTAAAAAAGATGACATTTAGTCTTAGGCTATAATAGTCTGCTACATTAGATCCACTTCCACTCCCAAAGCCAAATTCTGTCTTGGCAATACTTACATTTTAAGATCACCAAAAAGTGGAGCATCATTTTATAATAGAGTGTAAAACAGATTTGTTTCTACAGTTATAATATCTCAAATTATTTTATTACCTTAAGATCCACCTATTAGATAATATTATAAAGTTAGTTTTAATATTATTTATTTTTGAACAGTACAATTACTTCAATAGTTCAGTATTTTTAAAATGGTATAACATTCAAAAGGTATAACATTATACCAAATGGTAGTGTAGAATGAGTCCCCTTCCCTCCACATTGTCTCCCGGTCCCTCTGTGTCTCTCTCAACTGACTCTCCTGCCCAGCAACAACTATTACTAGCTCTTCCATATCCTTCCTAAGGTAGTCTATGTGTCAATACCCTAATGCATAGAAACAAACATATTACATACATGCGTTTTCACATGCATATCTACATATAAACACATACATATTTAATTTAAGCATATATAGACAAGCACTCTTGTTTAAAACCAATCTGTATTTACTTTGCCATTTTAAAAAAATGCTACAATGACTAGCTCATGAGGTGTCTTAGGATTGTGGCTTCACAAATATATTGTCGACACTAAATTTAAGGACAACCTCAAGGACAAAGACCTAAGGACAGTGTTAGAAATTCCAGTATTTCTCAAAAGTACTAACAATTTACCTTCATTTTCTACATTTCTCCTCTTCTCATTTTCCTGTTCAGCTTTTCTTTGGTACTCATTAATTCTATGCTGTAGCAACATTTTCTCCTTCTCAATTTGAGACACTGTCGATTCTAGATTTTTTCTTTGATTCCCCTGAAATTATAATGACAAAGTTACCATTACAATTAATACTCCTTGTCATTTATTCGAGGGAGTACTTTGTTCTTTAAAAAACCGAAACAAGGGGCTGGCCCGGTGGCGCACTGAATAGTGCGCCGCTTGGGAAGCGCGGCGGCGCTCCTGCCCGAGGGTTCGGATCCCACATACAGACC